GGGTCCGGGCTGGGGATTCGAACCCGCCACCCTAGGTGTACGTGGCTGGCGCCCCAGCCGGTTGAGCCATAGGCGCCGAGCCATTAATCTGGATTTTTAAAGAAAAGAACTCACCTTTATGGGGCCAGGACTTTGCCATTTCCAAAGTGTTCTCTAAACCCTGGTTCACTCTGGAGTTTTCATGAGTACTTGGTGAACTGAGAAAAATATAGACAATGTAGTGAGATTTTCATAAAACAAAATATATTCATTTTCAAAGGACTCCCTTTATTTTCTGAGACTAGCTTGCTTCTTTCTTGTTTGGGAGAATCCCGAACTGTTGAATCATTAAGTCCTTTGCTGTTGATTTACCCGGCGAAGTTGCCCATGTGAGAAGCAGCTGACCCACGAAGCACACTGGAGGACTTGCAGTTGAAATACTGCTGTCTCCTTTGTCCGTGGCATCCCAGAGCACATTGTACATTGTTCTGATTGGCTGTCACATCAATGTCTTGTTCCTCAATTTTAGCTTCTCTGAGCAAAAGCTGCTTACTTCTTAGAGGTCAACCTTGCTGACCCCCGATCTTCCCCCCCAAAGAAATTATGCGTATGCCTCAGAACCTATATAATTTTCAAGCACTTTATTATAAAAACTTTCAGGCATTCAAAAAAGCTGGAAGAAGTATATATCTATCTAATTAGCATCTAGATTCTACATGTAACATTTTGCTATAAATCTTTTATACATGTTATTCCATTTGTCCATCCCTTCAGAAATCCAATAGTTCATTAATGTTTTCAGCATAATATTTCAGAATAAGTTATAGAGATCAGTATACTTTACCCCTAAACACTGAGCATACAAAGTAACAGCAGTTAATGTGTGTTTATATTTTTAAGGTAATATTTATATACACTGAGAAGCGTAAATTTTAAATGTACCTTTCCATGAGTTTTGATAAATACATATATCTGTGAGTCCTAAACTCTTATCATAAGATATAAAAGATTATATTCACTGTGGAAATTTCCTTCATGCTATTTCTTTGTCATTTCCTGTAAGGAAATGCCTAGTTCCTAGGCAGCCACTGTTCTGAATTTTTTTTTTTTAATCATTGATTTAGGCACTTGTTTGTGTGAGGCTTCTTCCATTCAGCAAACATCTTTTAAGATTCATTCAAGTTGTTTCATGTATCAGTAGTTTGTGCTTTTTGTTGCCAAGTAGTATTCTATTCTATGAAGATACCACCATTTGGTTATTCTGTTGCTGGATACCTCAACTGGTTCCAGTTTTTTGCCATTATGAATAAAGCTGCTGCAAAAATTCTTACACAATTTTTTTGGAGCATGTTTGCTTTCATTTCTCTTAGGAAATAGCTAGAAGTGGATTTGTTGGGTCATAGGCTAAGTGGATGTTTCAAGAAAAACTGCCAAGCCTTTTTCTAAAGTGCTTGTACCATTTTACATTTCATCAACAGTATGAGAGTTTAAGTTGCTCCACATCCTATCAACTTTTGGTGTTGTCAGTCTTAATTTCAACCATTCTGGTGGGTATGAAGTGATATCTTATTGTGGTTTTAATTTGCATTACTCTGATGGCTAAGGACACTAAGCATCTTTTCATGGGTATGTGTTTCTTTGAAATATATTTTCGAATCTTTTGTCCTTTTAAAAATTGGATTGTTGAGGCAGGACAGGGTGGCTCATGCTGGTAACCCTAGCACTCTTGGCCCTAGCCAAGGCGGGTGGATGTCTTGAGCTCAGTAGTTTGAGACCAGCCTGAGAACAAGATCCTGTCTCTACTAAAAATAGAAAAACTCACTGAGTCTTGTGGCAGGTGCCTGTAATTCCAGCTACTTTAGAAGCTGAAGTGAGAGGATCGCTTGATCCCAAGAGTTTGAGGTTGCTATGAGCTATGATGATGTCATGGCACTCTACCCAGGGCTAAGGAATGAGACTCTGACTAAAAAAGAAAAAAAAAAAAATTGGACTGTTTTTTTTTTTATTATGGATAGCGATAGTCTATATTTTAAGTGAAATCATATGAGAGCTAAGTGCTGTCACAATAGATTTGAACATGTAAAATGGTGTAAACATATTACAAATTTATTTTTGTTTTACATGATGGTCCAAATTTGTTTGAGTTTGAAGTGGATGGGTACACTGCTCCCCCACAATTATAGAAGGCTCCAGGCTGAAGGAGGCTTGTCCTTGGTCAACACATGGGTTTCAAGCTTGGATTGGGCATCGCCATCCAGCCACCAAGGGTTAAAAGCATGTAGTGGGATATTTAGGGGTGAGGGTCACTTCACTTACATTCCAAGAACTCTGTTCCAGGCCACACCTAACCGTAAGGGAAGCTGGGAAATGTGGTCTACTTCTGTGTCCAGGAAGCCAGTACCTCTGCATTATCCAAAACAGATGAGTACACTCTATATTTGGGGAAAATTCAGCCATTTTCTTGAGATGTGGCAATGGGCAGACAAGATCTTCTTTTAAAGAATATATCCTTTTTGCTTTCTGATATTAAAATATTCTCTCTGTTAGAAAATTACGACAGCGACAGAAGGTCATTTTTATTTTTTTGTTTTTGTATCTCTCCTTGCTTGATAAAGGCTTTTCTATAAGTGACCAGCTCTCTGTCAATATTCTCCCTTCTCTACTCTCTGATTAGTTTTGATCTTTTACTGGACTGGGAGAGCTTTACATTTGGGAACTACTACAGGAGGTAGTCTGTTGTCTCTACTCTCAAGAATCAGATGCAGAGTGCAGCTGGGTGTGTCCTCCTTTGGAACCAGAGTGCCAACCATTGTGAAAGGAATTTATTGGGCGTCTCTCCTTGTGGTCCAGTTTTGCTACTGACAAGTGAATTGGGA